ACTTTAGTCACTGTACCTTTTCATTTTTGTTGAACTAACTTTCTAATTTTTGTGTAGTTCCTCTTTTTTAAATTAAACATCACAGTGCTAGGCTGCTGAGGTGGGAAAACAGCAGCCTAGCACTGTTTTGTGCTAGGGATGTTAAATTTTATTACATTATGGTCACTATTTCCAAGTGGTCCAGTTATGTTTACCTCTTGGACCAGATCCTGTGCTCCTCTTAGGACTAAATCGAGAATTGCCTCTCCCCTTGTGGGTTCCAGAACCAGCTGCTCCAAGAAGCAGCCATTTAAGGTATCAAGAAACTTTATTCTTCATCCTGTCCTGAGGTGACGTACACCCAGTCAATATGGGGATAGTTGAAATCTCCCACTATTATTGAGCACTCTTGCAAATCTTTCAATACTCTCTTCCATTCACAACACGAATAAGAGAATTATTCAGAACTAGCCAATTAGCCCGTTATAAGACAGATTTTCAGTTCTCTCCTCCACCTTGGTCTTCTCTCCTGAGCCTCCGGTCTCTCGCTCCCTCTCTCTCTCCTCCTACTGCCTCCCCTCTCTCTCTCAGCTCTCCTCCCCCTCCTGCCTCTCTCTCCGTCTCTTTCTTTCTCTTCTCCCTCCTGCCTCTCATTCTCCCTTTCTCTTCTCCTCCTCCTCTCTCCCCTGCCCCCTCCCCCTCCCTCCGTGGCAGCTCGGCTGAGTGCTGCCTGCTCAGCCGGACTGCCGCGGGGGAGGAGGAGTGGGGCAGTGACGTACACGGCCAGGGGGCGGGGCCTTGTACATCACCGCCCCACCCCCTGTTCCCCTTCCGCTGCGGGAGAGCCCAAACAGACTCACAGACATTGGGCTACTATATATATGATTATTACAGATCAGTGTTGGTGCTGGGTTCAAGGGCCTGCGGCCTTCAGATGCTTGAGCCTTTCTACTCCCTCTCTGCTCTTGTTCTTTTAAAGTCACTTTACTGCTGGATTCGATTCAGTTCAGAATGCTATAATGGTGCCTAAATTAAATCTATAGCCATATGTATAAGTGTTTGACATTTTCATGAATGGATGGCGAAACCTTTGCTTTGTTCTGTCCTCTAGCCAGCTACAGAGCAATTCAAAGGAGTGAGCCAAAGGTGCGACTTTCATCATTTTTATAATTTGGGAACCAGCTTCTCAGTGATATTTTGTCACGAGCCAGTCTTTAATGCCAGCCCTGTATACCAGAAGGCTATGGAGTGTGCCAGAAAGGTCATGTACAATGCTGTGGCTTTTAAATATTTCTCATACAAATGTGTCACCGGGACAGAGGGGTGCATTTCTGAACAAGAAAGGAGACTATTCTGGGAGGGTTTTGTGTGGGATGCTGTTTTGCTGGAGGTTTTATAGTAAAAGCTCCCTCAGGTCAGTGCTTTCAAGCAGCCCTTCTTTTAGATCAGTGGTCCCCAACGTGATGCCTGCAGGTGCCATGGCCCCTCCGGGGCATTTACATGTGCCCACCAAGTGCTCGGGGTCTCCCCCGGGCGCGCGGTGCATGCGCAGTGCCGGTACCGAGCGCATGGATGGCCCCGCTGGCCCCAGACGCACGGTGCATGGGGAGCGCCAGCCCCGGGTGCGAGGTGCATGGGCGGCCCTGGCCCTGGGCATGCGGTGAATGGGCGGCCCTGAGCCCGGATGCATGGCGCATGGGGAGCGCCAGCTCCGGGTGCACGGCGAATTGGCGGCCACAGATGCACAGCGCATGGGGTTACTGCCCCTGGGTACGTGCTGCATGCATTGTCCCGCCCCTAGGCGCACGGCAGCGCCAAAAGGTTGGGGACCACTGTTTTAGATCATGTTCATCCTCATCAGGACAGGCATAATGTGTTTTGGCCCTTTGTTTTCTCACCAGTTTATCCTGAACCAAAGAGCACAGCATCCAAGCTCTGCGCTTCTGATAATATACAAACATGGATATTAAGGAGAGATGATCAGATCTCCTCCTTTTGTGGGATTTGTGATAATTGGGGCCAGGGAGCAGTTTCCGCAAGACTACCTGCAGCTCCTCCTAAGAGTGTAGGTTTTTGGTAAAGAAAGAGAGACAAGTGTCCTTGAAGTTGTCTTCTAAAGATGGTAATTAAAAGCTGCCAGTCTATCCTCTGAATGTCGTCCCCTGCTTTCTCTCTGAAGAACATGTCTCATGTTACAATTGCCAGCATGCCAGGGCGCCTTTTTATGCTGCAAAAAGTGACAAAAACCGGGAGACACCTTTTAAGATGGTGCCGATCTCGCGGCCTCCTCTGACCTTTCCTTTTAGCAGCACCTTTCTGGCTTTGGTTTTTCTGCTGTCCATGAACTGGAAGTGGAATCAATTATTGTTTATTGACAAAGGAACTTGGAGGCTTGATCCAGGAAGGTCCATCTACAGTAGCTCTATGTGAACCGGCATGGTGGGGGGACTTTTTAGGGAACATGCATCTGGGAAGGGTTTCTGATTAACGAAGTACTAAGTAATCAGCTATATCCCTCAGGGCCTGACTGCATACCACAGAAGACAATACAGAAATGGTAGCTTGTGGGGGCCTTGTTAATGGGATGTTTGCAGAACTCGTGAGACACGTGAGCACGACCTTACCGGATCCAAATTACATTTTCACAACCAAGTTCCAAACCACTGGAGATTCCTGGCTTGAGGTTTTGTTGCAAACCCAAATCAAAGGCAGGGTTTGTTAAAATGAGTTGGAGCAAACTTGGCTTTGTTTAGTATAAGTAGCCACAAAGTCATTAGAAGTCACTGGGAGCCCAGGTTGCTCCTCAGAGATGAAAATTAAATCCTAAAGGCCGTGCCTCATTTGCATATCGCTGTGCCTCATTTGCATATCTAATAAGCTGCCATTTTGCACATAGGGCTTTTGTGCAAGAAGGAGCAGTCTACACTGCACCTTCTTGCGTAAAACCTCCCTCTTCCACAAGAGCAATTCTACTGCTTACTTTCAGGGAGAACAGCTCTTTCACAAGAGGGGTTTTTTGTGCACGGACTGCTCCTTGTGCAAAAGCTCCTTGCGCAAAAATGGCGGCTCATTAGGTATTTGAATATCTTCTTGCACAAGAATGCTCAATGTAGACATAGCCTTTGAGCATTCTGCACTGAGGTTTGGGAATTTTTTTTAACTCCAAACTTAATGGAAAAGGAGGGCATGGGAAGTTTTTCCTGAAATCTCATAAACCCAGCCCATTAAGCTCTGCATGACATTCATTTCTATACATTTCATCTGTAACAAGACACAGTCTTCTCTTTGGCAAGGCTAGCTTAGATTTGTAAAAATTCTCCATATGTATGATTTTGATAGGAGAAGCTCTAAACCTCGTAAGTTTGGTTATTCCCTTCTAAACTCTGCTCCTTATGATTGAACAGACATGGGGAGTAAAAATCTCTAAAATCAAACTGTTTACTTTTTACTTGGACAGGGACATATGTGTTTGGTGCATTATCCTGCAGCGGCACAGCTCTGATTGGTAGTAACAGCATGATTGTGATTCCATGCAGAGCCATAGCTGAAAGGGAATGACAAAGCAAAGGGACATGTGCCTTCTGCATGGAGCACTGGGATCCTTTCTGCTTGCATTGCTTTGGGAACATTTCTATCAAACATTTCATAAGTCTGTGAAGTCAAAGCCAAATGGGGGTGAGAGGATGAAATCCATCTGCTAAGTCGCTGTGAGGCATTTATCTCCCTCCTCCCCCCCCCCCCCCCCAAAAGGTTCAGTTTTAAAAATAAAGCTTGATTAAAATACACCCTTACCAGAGACCTAAGGAAGAATTCCTGTGTGAATATTTGCATGGTGGGGATGGGGCGCTTCTAAGACAAGGGTGGGCAATAATTGTTGAAGGGGAGGCACTTCACACATTTTTTAAGTGGTCCCAGAAGAGGTGGGGCCTTGGGATGAGGGGGTAGGGCCAGGACACTTCCTGTGCTCCCCCACCCACAGTCCCTGATTGGCCCGGGGACACAGAAGCACGTGAAGTCGTTGCCCCCCGCTCCCCAGTGCCTAGAGAGAATCGCCAGCTGTTCTGAACAGCTGGCAGTTCACTTTGGGCCTCTTGCAGGACAGACGGAGGTTTTGCATACTCCCCCGTCCCCAGGTCTCAATTGGCCTCCATCAGCCAGATCAAAGGGACAGTTCTGGGTCTTGCTTTCTCTAATGGATGGTTGTGGCACACTTCGATGGGGAACACGCCTCCATTTGCATCTAAGGACGGACCCTGAAGGGCTCTGAGCATCTGCTCTGCCAGAAATCAAAGGCAAAGCACCTGTTCATTGGTGATGAGCAGGTGGGAGTCCATTCTCTTGGGGCAGCCCTCACAGGAGGTAAGCACCCCTAGCTGTGATCAGGAATTGTGGTTTTCCTCCAGCACTTATGCATGACAAGCATGCGCCCTCCATTTGCATCTAAGGACGGACCCTGAAGGGCTCTGAGCATCTGCTCTGCCAGAAATCAAAGGCAAAGCACCTGTTCATTGGTGATGAGCAGGTGGGAGTCCATTCTCTTGGGGCAGCCCTCACAGGAGGTAAGCACCCCTAGCTGTGATCAGGAATTGTGGTTTTCCTCCAGCACTTATGCATGACAAGCATGCGCCCGGTACTGCACCCCAGAAGTGCTGGCAAGCGCACAGGGCTCAGCACATCATCCCTGCCCCAAGCACTAGCTCTGCACTCCCATTGGCTGGGAACCTGCTGCTGGCTGCTTCGGGGGGCAGCCTGGGTTGTGGTGCCAGGAGAGGCAGGAAGCTGCCTTAGCCCCCTTCCCACTGCACTGCTGACCGGGAGCCATTCAGGGTAACCCTCTCCAAAGCTGGAGCCCCCTCCTGCACCCCAAAGCTCCCACCCCAGAGCCCCCACTCCAGTCACATGTCAGGTTGTGGGCACCAAGAATTCTCTTCAACCGGGTCGTCCTAAGTTCCCATCCTCAGCCCTACCCAATGCTCAATTAATTAACCAGGCCAGTCCCTCACTGTACTTTTTCTCTACAGGCAATAGAAGAGCTCTTCAAGGTACTTGATCTGGAAAAGAAAAGTGTTGCAGTGGGACGCAGTCAGGTATGTTGTTCACAGTCCTTGCACCATAACAGTGTAAACACCAGGCTTGTGCCCAAGTGCTCTGGAGTGCCAGAACCTATCCTCCACGAACCTAATGTAATGAAAGACCTTTTTCTTGCTTCCATGTTGTAACCCAGCAGCCTAAGTCCTGATGGAAACTCCTAACTCACTCCATCACTTCTGAAAATGGTACCCGAGGTGAATACTATATATCGAGCTATTAAGATCCTACAACAAGGACATTTCCAGATGAATAGTTGCCACAGTAACATATTCAAAGCAAAAGCCAAAGAGAAATTAATTATATATACACTGCTGCCTCTGTCTCTGGGATGCTATAGAGAAAAAGGAATTCATTGAATTATTTTAGGGAGCAGGATAAGTTTCTTTCATCCTGAATACAATAGTTTGATTATCTCTTCTATGAATCCCTCTTATGTGATCAATAATATGACAGCTGCACCAGTTAAATCTTGTTATGTAAGAGTTAGTATTGTCATTTCTCTGAACATTGATTTTGTACTGGACTGTGAAGTTAATACAGCCATTAATGAGACAATCAAACAGGGGTGAAGCAATCTTAGCATTATCTCCAGAAAGCCAGTTTTTTTTTAGAAGTGTTCTTTGATTCCGTTTTGGTTTTTTTAAAAGACAGAATTCAATTCTATTGTAAAACTCACAAGTACAGTTTTATTTTAATAGTGCATTTTTAGCATCAAAAGTGTAGTATGGAGTATTTAAACCATACTGGTCAAAGCACCAAGAGTTTTGCTTGAGTGAGAGAGAGAACAGGATTTCTGAATTTAGCCATCTATTGATCTTTCAAAACACAAATGCATCAGCAAAATCCATATTGTTTGAAGCATGTTTGTAATGAGCTCAGGTACAGTAAATGACACAGTTCCTTTAGGTTCTCCCTGACCTATGTTGGTACATATCTTGCATTGTTACCGCATTGTGCATAAGGTATTGAAAATACATCATACTACAGAGTCCAATGTCTCTCCCTGTAAAGCAGGTATGATCAACGGTCCATGGCCAATGTCTCAACAACATGCAGCTTTGAGGAGGAACAGGCCCTTATGCAGGAATTTCAGGGGTGGTGCTTTTTTTTGTAAATGTGGATCACAAGAGTGTAAATGTGTCCCTCCCCTGAGAAGTGGGGAAATCAGCCCCGGCCTTCCTCTGGCCTGGGCTGCATGTCAAAAGGGCAGTGCACTGCTTCTGCCTTCCCCTGGCCAGCCAGACACCTGCTTACTTGAGGAGCCATGGGGGGTGCTTTTGCACCCTTTGCACTTCCCCCCCTCTCCCTCCCTGTACAGGCCCGAGGAGTTAGGACATGCATCAGTAAAAGAGAGGACAGAGCAGATAGTAGAAATACTGGGCAAATTGCATGTTGAATATAAGGCCCATTAAGGCTGCCAGAGTGGGGAGGGCAGGCTGACTGCCCTATTGACAGTGGTGGAGATGCGATGTCTGGAGAGAGCAAGAACACTATCTTGCCTGGCAGGGTGAGGGTGGGTGTTCATTCTGAGTCGCTAAAAAAACACATCCATCTGGCTGAGGACTTGCTGGGCCCTATGGGGCCATCAGGATGGGAGCACAACTACAGCATGCACAGCTGTGGGGTTCACAGCTGCTCTGTCCCTCCCCACCCGCTTGTGCTGGGGGAACAATGATGGCAGTGCTGTGGCATGGCAGCCCTGGGCAGGGGGGTGCTCTGCCTTTTCAGCAGAGTGTGATTGAGGGTGGACAGGGAGAGGGAAACTCTGCCTCTCCTCAGTATATGGACCATTAAGAGTTACAGAGGTAGGGCCACTGTCTGGGTTCATGCATATGGGACTCCTGAAGATCTCAGAGCAAGGAGGGTAGGCAGGGTCAGAAGCCAGAAAAAGGCTGTTGGTTTTATCCAGACTAGTCATAGGTCACGGTTAAAAGAGCAGCTCTTATTTCCTTCTGGGTAAATGCTAGCGAGAGGTCACACTGCTGGCAGTGAACAGTTTCCATCCATATCCCCCCAGGTTTTCCTGAAACCCGGCGTCATCTCTAGGCTGGAGAAGCAGCGGGAGAAGTTGATATCCCAGAACATGATTCTGATCCAGGCAGCTTGCAAGGGCTTCCTCTCCCGCCAGAAATTCAAGAGATTAAAGGTAACCACCATCCTGGGCTCATTTGGCTCCACGAGGCGTCAGAGGAGAACCCACCTGGGCTGACGGTCACCCAGAGCTCTGCTGCTGCTACTAGGGCTGGGCATTTCTCCAGGGCAGGAGACAGAGCTCATTTCTTCTGGCAGGACATGGTCCATAAGTCTGGAAAAGCTTGAAATGAGCATATTGAATAGGAGATGGAACAAAAGTTGTCTGATAAGCATGGGCTATATCATAAAATCATAGGCTACTACAACTGGAAGGGACCCTGAGATGTGATCAAGTCCAGTCCCCTGCCCTCACAGCAAGACCAAGCACGAATATTCACTCTAATGATTTCCATTGTGTGTGGAATAAATTTTGTTCTGTGCATCAAGGCATATGTGATGTGCACCACCAATAGAAACACATGCTGCTGAGTGGGGGCTCTGCTAATCAGAGGGGTGGCATTGGAATCTCTCCTGGGTGGCCGCACAAGCACGTAGCTTACAGGGAACAGTGCCAAGCACCACCATCCATCATTGAACAGCACCATAAGCAGCCCCGGTGAAACAGGTGGGGTAGCTCATGGCAGAAGGTACTGCTTAGTGACTAGAAGTATCCCAGGCTGGCCCCTGTATTTCACCATTAATAACAGCCTCTCTCCAGGCATGCACACACAGACACACAGCTCACTGCATGTCAAAAGTTTGCAGAGTTCATTTTTAATGTGCACATTCTAATTTTCAAGTGAACTCTTGTCAAGCCAACTGAAACAGAACTGAGCAATTAGTCACACAGCCAGTCAAAGCACAGCTCCAGGTCATGTGTATTGACTTTCTGAAGTCATGTGACGCAGGCCTGTGCAGCTGCGGGAAGGAACAATCCATTCCTGAAACCACAGATTGATGTTTATTGGTAACATCTTTCATAGCTTCAGCACCTGGCTCCTCAAGCAGCACATGCCTGTGCCCTGTTTCAGTTTGGGTGAAGCTTTCCATTTTCACACATGCTGGGGATTCTTGCTTCAGTCTGACCTGCTTGCTGAAAGCGTGCCATGGTTTCTGATGCTCTGATTTCAGATTCAGCGCATAGCTGTCCGGTGCATCCAGAGGAATCTGGCAGCGTTTCAAGTGGTGAAGGACTGGCCATGGTGGCAACTGATGAGCTGGGTTCGGCCCTTGCTTCGTGTGAACTTAGTGGAAGACCAGCTCCGAGTCAAAGATGTACGTAGCAGCAGAGCACAGACACTGAACAGAGTGCTCGGCATGCCAGTCAGGCAGGAAGCACCTTTTACTGCTGGTAGAAAGACACATTCTTTCCTGCCCAGTATTTAAGTCCTGTTCCCAGCTCTGCATTGTGTGAGACGCTGGGCAGTGTGTTTTCAGCGTACCCGAGAAGTGAAGGTACAGAAAGAGAAATGAGGCTTTTCAGGCACATGTGGGGAAAGTGGGTATCTCCATCCTAGAACAAAACAGGTGACAAGTTGGTTAATTAAATTCAAGCCCATTACAAAGGCAAAACCAGCTGTTTGGGGTGCAAATAGAGACACAGCACCCAGCTCTGGTTCTGGGGAAGAGGCCCTTTCCGGCTTTGCTTTAGACATGGCCCCATCACTGGGACGTGGGATGGTCCAGATATGATGTTCCCAGTCAGGTCCCTCGTCAACATCAAAATGGAAAAGTGGGAAGCAGTCCCCATCTTACCTGGAGAAGGGCTAATTAAAGAGGGGGTCTTTCTCCCAGGCCCCATTCATGGAGGCCCTTTTCCAGGAGCCCTAAACGGGCCAGCACAAATCCCAGAGTCCATAGCTTTCCTGCCCCCTGCCCATGCTCATTCCAGCTCCAATGAGGAACCATTGAAATATTGACAGACCACATAGGACTAGGGAGGGACCGTGTACAGCAGCTGATTTTTGGCTGCTAAATACTGGGCTCCACAGTGCTGACAAGGGTGAGCAGGCCACATTCACTCCTGATGTAACTGTATCAGCTCTCCGATGGTCCAATCACAGCTCCATTTGGGCCAGTGAGTCTATTTCAGCTGGCACTCCCTGCCTAGGTAAAACCAGCTTCCAAGCTTTCTCCCAGTTTGTGGTTTTTGCTAAGTCCTCAGCATCTCTTCCTTGTCTTTGGTGGTTCATGGGCTTTCACTAGAGATGGGTGATCTGGGTCAGATCAAATGAAAACTGACCCAAGCCTTTACGTAGCCCTCAAAATTTGTTTGAGGCCTGGCTGCCCTCTGCTTTCTGCCTTTAATCCACATCTCTGCACACTCTGGTTCTAATGGAAGAAGTTAAAAAACATGGAGTGGTCCTGCAGCACCTTAGAGACGAACAAAACATGTTGATGGAATCACGAGCTTCTGTGGGAACAACCCACTTCTTCAGATCAAACAGGCAGATTTGGCAAGGCAAAGCTCTTCTTGCAATACTGTTACCCTGCTTGGTGAGACGAAATGCTAGCAATCTCACAAGTGTGTGTGTCTGTGCAGCTGTGCCTGCCCAGTATCTGGCCAAGGTTTTAAGAATATTTATTTGATAAGCTGCATTCAGGCACTTGGACGCTCAACCATAGCTTTTAAGGTTTGCTACTTTCTAATTAAATGTGTGCAGTGCATACACCAAAGCTGATGTTCCCTCCATTTAAATTAATGTCAGGAACCACATTCCAAGCAATTAACAGTGATCAGCCCTTAAACTCACCCGGTAAATTTTCTTAATAAGGCAATTATGTCACTCCCACTTACTTTTAACAAAAAAGCTAGATTTATAAATAAACAAAGGAGGCTTGAACTCTAAGCATGTGTTTGGCAATTTTATTTAGGAAGAGCTCACAGCGCTAAGAAGAAAGCTAGAAAAATCAGAGCAGTCCTGCAGTGAACTTCGGCAGAACACAGACGTACTGGAAAGCAAGGTAAATGCTGATAAAGTCTCTCGCTGTGCCTCTTTCCGGTATGGTTTGAGTAGATCACACTTACAAAAGGTGTGGCCCAAAAGACTAACGTTAAGTGATCATGGCTGTATGAGGAGTCAGCCAAGCCTGATACCTGCTGGCATATTGAGTCAGGTCTGGGCTCCTGCTACTTGGCTCCCTGTCATTCCCTTGCTGATTGTTTAGTGAAAATGCTGGGTTGCCTGTTCGCATCCATCTTCTTGCTTCTGCACTCCTCTCCAGCCCCACTGGGAACTGAGAGAGCTGGGTGCTGAAACCATTAATGCCGAAATGTAAATATGGGTTAACAACCCTTGAAGAGCTGATTTTGCATTTAATCTACCAAGAAAATTACCCACTGATTAATTTTATCAGGTCAAAGGCATGAAATAGGGCACTTTGGCACTCTCTCTGTCTCTGTCTCTCTCTTTCTCTGGAAAGCCGGCAGCGTCTGCTATTCTCCAGGAGGTGGTGAGGAAGGGAATTTTCTCTCCTTGCCATTATTTTGGCTGCTGAGCAATTTCAAGGGCCCCCTGATATTTTTAGGTACTGGGACTAGTGCCAGCTGGCAGACTGTGGGATTCTTAGGATATTACTCCAAGTAACTAGCAGATAACTCTAGCTCATGTAGGAGGGACAGGCCAGGTGCGGTTGGGGCCCCAGGGACCAACCAAATGAGCGTGACACGTGTTAATGGAGTTCTCTGGGCATACAGCTCATCGGACCAATATCTCAAAAACAGGTTCACCATGGGCACTCTGATGTCCTTTTAATAAACACCATCACACGTTTCCATCTCAGCACTGAATGCTTTGTTCCCATTTCCTCTCTTGCCTGCTCAATGAGTGCAAACTTTCTGGCTCCTGGTCCCCATCTCTCCTCCTGCTTTGCAACTTCACTGGTTAGCTGTCGGGGCAGAATAACAACTCTTCACCCAAAGTACAGAAGAGCGAGTAGCCGCTTTACCCTGTGCAGTCCAGGCTCACCCAAGACACTGGGACCTAGAGTGCTGGAAACAAACTGCCCGGTTGTAGCCCTTTCTCCTGACAAGCATGATAATGAGACTAGAAATTATATCCCAGTCATAGATTCCTAGGGCTGGCAGAGACCTCAGGAGTTATCAAGTCCAGCCCCCTGCCCAAAGCAGGACCAATCCCAACTAAATCAACCCAGCCAGGACTGTGTCAAGCTGGGAATTAAAAACCTCTAGGGATGGAGACTCCACCCCCTCCCTAGGGAGCCCATTCCAGTGCTTCCCCACCCTCCTAGGGAAATAGTTTTTCCTAATATCCAACCTAGACCTCCCCCACTGTAACTTGAGCCCATTGCTCCTTGTTCTGCATCTGTCACTACTGTGAACAGCCTCTCTCCAGCCTCTTTGGAACCTCCCTCCAGGAAGTTGAAGGCTGCTATCAAATCACCCCTCACTCTTCGCTTCTGCAGACTAAACAAGCCCATATCTCTCAGCCTCTCCTCATAGGTCATGCGCTCCAGCCCCCTAATCATTTTGGTTGCCCTCCGCTGGACCCTCTCCAATGCGTCCACATCCTTTTTGTAGTGGGGGGTCCAGAACTGGATGCAATAGTCCAGATGTGGCCTCACCAGAGCTGAATAAAGGGGAATAGTCACTTCTCTGGATCTGCTGGCAATGCTCCTCCTAATGCACCCTAATATGCCATTAGCCTTCTTGGCTACAAGGGCACAATGTTGACTCATATCCAGCTTCTCATCCACTGTAACCCCCAGGCCCTTTTGTGCAGAACTACTACTTAGCCATTCAGTCCCCAGACAGTTGTCTGACTTAAATGTCACACCTTCCCCTTTCACTCTCCAGACTGCACTCGCAGGGCTGGAGGAGTGTGTACAGTGGGGCATACTGAGAGCCACTGACCCCAACTGCCCACTCTGTATAGAATGGCAACTGCTTTGAGCCAGGGTGTGCAGCTGCCTCCCTAGTCTCAGGGCCTCCATCTGCAGATACCAGAAGTAGCTTAGTTTCGTGGAACAAATGGCTACCAGTCTGTGGGCACGGAGTGTGTTCCTGCTGTGTTCAGTGGGAGAGGCATGGAAGCAAATATCAGCATTCGGGAAACAGCAGCTCAGGGCAGAACTGTTCTACTTCAGAGAGAACAGGCTGGGGGGATGTACTCTGGACAAAGAGGGCCGGGCTTGGGCAGAGTGTAGGAGCATGTCGAGTGAGAGGAACAAACACCTTGCCTGTGCCAGTCGCCCGGTCTCAGAGCTTCCTAGCTATAGATTCTGCCACAGGCTGAATTCACTCCCCCAAGCCACGGTTGTTTGGCTGCTGTAGTGAACTGCTGGAGCTGGATGTCCAGCCCTCCTGTACAATGCCTTAAAAGCTTCTCCATGAGGCTGTCAGGTGGGGAGAGGAAGCAGTTGTACGCTTGGGTGTTTCTGTCTTTTGTTCTAATTTGCTGGACACTTTTTAAGAGTCAGAGATCTGTTTGGAGCTTCTGCCTCTAGCCCTGCCAGCCAGCAGGGTCTGACTCCTGGGCCGGCTCCTGGTCAGTCAGACACTGCAGGAAGGGGAAATGACATGTTCAGTGAATGTCTTATTCCTGGAGCCACATGCTGATTATTTCAACTAGAATTTAACACTGGAATCGTTGGTGCAGTGTGGAAACCTGACTAACCCTAATTGCAGCACCCTGAAGAGGGGGCGGTGCTTTCACAAGGTGCAAATTGTAGTCACAGGGCGCAACTCAAGGGGGAGGGGGCATTTGCAGTTGGAGCTGGTGAGCCCCATAACTGCTCTATATGAGGCCTGTCTGGCTGTATCCCAAAGCCTAGCTGGGGTATAACCAGACCACAGTGTACACCAGCCTGTCCGCCTCCTCCTGGCAATATTCCTGGCATACCCTGTTGCAGAGGAAAAGGCCCTGCATAAGAGTCAGCTCTATTCAGCAGGGGAGCAAAATCTGGGAGAAACCCTGGTTCCACCAACATCAACTGGAGTTTGACCATTGGCTTCCATGGCTCGAGGGTTTCATCCTGGTTCCTAATAGCTGCAATGGGGCTGAGGGTTGAGGCCATGGAGTATGAGAGCATTTGGAGGTGCATGCACATAAATGACTGTAATGAACGGTATTGCCAATGCTCAGAGGATGCATCAGTATGCTGGGAATTTGGCCAGGCAGATCATTAGTGTTCGCTTGGGAGATGACAGCGTTTTCATGGGAGCCACAAAGAACGAGTGAGCTCTCTCTCGGGGGATGTTTCTCATTTTTATTTGCCCAGATCCCCACTGCCCCCTAGGAACAGGCTAAAGGTTTGGTTTGGAGGCCTACACAATGTGGCTGTGTAATTACCTTGCAGTGTAATTATCATGTTAGTGAATTAATTGCTCCATTGTTTGACACCTTGTTCTCTGCTCTCCATCTGTGCCTGGATGTGAAACACAGCCACTAGGAGCAACGCAGAGGAGGCTCAGACCTGAACCTTGGCCAACACTTTCCCTTCCTTCTCTACGCTCCTAGTGAACAACAGCCAAGTGCATTCCATGCTGGAAAATCCTTTCTGTTCCTTCCCCTTTCCCCTTTTGTGGAGAATTAGATCGTTGTGGAGAATTAGATCTGCACTGTGTTGATTTAATCATTAATAGCTTGTGGGAATGATCATGGGCACATGTACACACGCACAAACCAACGCGCACACAAAAGATGTGGAACTAACAGGCCACATGCCAATCACCCACTCATTAAGCCAACACACTGCTTGTATGTCGTAGCCTTTGTGCCTGCTTTTTTCTGTTTTTGCAATCCGTTAAGTTCTTCTTCTGCCTCCATAGGGCCGTACACATTTTAGAGATTGTTCTCATATAAATAAGTAATTGCACACATAAGCCTATGTGAAAGGAAATTAGTTAAGGTAGCTAGTTTCTAGGTTTAAAAACAAACTAAAAAAACCCAGAGATTCCACCAGCTGGCACCCACATGAGTCATCAGCTGGGTATGAATCTTTAGTTCCACCCTAGAGATCTCTGCCATTTGAACTAACAATATACATGTTAGCAGTAGTAAGTTGTCATCCTCTCTGTAGGGGATGGGGTGTTTTGCCAGTGGGTTTCACAGATATTTGCCGATACGAGAGGAATGATGAAACTCTGGGATCTTGGATGCAGGCTTTGAAAGGGTATGTTCCAGAAGACAAAGACTCTATGATTTTCCACCAACATTGATCCTTCTGCTCTATCCCCTCCAACAAGTCCCTTTCCAATCTTTTCTTCATCCCTTGCCAAGCATACCAATCCTTTCCTAGTTCTCCCTCCAGTCACAGATCTATCTCTTTTCACCCGCTCCTACTGTGTCCACAGGAATAGCCAAAGCCACAATCCTGACAGAAAACCACCCCCAGGCCAAATTTCACATGACAGCTCCAAAGCATGGGGCTGTTAGAGCATATCAGACAGAGTTGCCAGATTTATTTTTTTGTAATGGGCA